GCAGGAAGACAGGGAATCCAGCAGTGCAGGCAGTGTGTATAAATACAGAGTGGCTGCTGCTTAATCTCCACTTCCCAACGGCAAGGCGCACAGCCGCTCCAATCTGGTATTGCAGTCACGCTCTGGGCTGCTGAACCACAGCTTCGCCGTTCTGTCCTCTAACACACACACAGACACAGACACACAGATGGGCCAGCCACTGTGGGAATGGAGCCACACTGCCCCCTGCTGACTGACACAGGCAACACTGAAAGATACAACATGCATGCCTACTTTTGTATAGGGTGCGTGCTTACTCTAAAAGCCTCAAAAAGCAACCCTGTCATTATTTTACAATGTTTCCCCCAATACTATTTGTATTAACAGTAGTTCTCGGGAAACCAATTGACTAACATTACAAATGCTGATCCTCATCCCTTCAGCAGAAAAGTATGTAACAAAATGCTTTCCCTGTACTAAAAAAAAAGCAGAATAGTAAATGTGCACTTGCACAACATAATGTCCCCGACATCAATGCTTAAATAATAAGGGAACCCAAAATTATTGTGCTCATATTTGGAATCTGAAGTATTCTGAATACTACACGACTTGTGTTCAAAGGTACTCACTAACATACTACAACCAGATGGTAATAATGAAAATGTATGCCAGGATGTGCCTCCAGGCCTCTAGGCTTTTGAAACAGAGGCATTTTAACAATATCACTTAACTGTGAAAATGTGCGGTTCAACGCAGTAGGCTCTATTTCTTTTGTGTTTCCAAGAATGTATATTCTACTTGAACATAATAAAGGAATAGTATATATTTCTCCAATCGTGAAATACGCCCTATTCCACAGCACTGTCGATGGCAGAGAGAAAACTCTGCGTTTTCTTTTTTTAAGCAATGTTACTCATAGATCTCCAAGGTAAGCCGGTTCGAACGAGTAAGCTGCCTCACAACAATTACTGGCTTTGTTTTAATGAAGTTACACCGAGGACTGGACTGCTCAGCCCCGTCAATATCCAGGTGCCACGGAGAGGTAATCTGGGTAGATTCCCTGATGTGCCTTTTGCACATCTAATAACGCTGTTGGCACAGTGCAGCACAGCCACTGCCCTTCATGTCAGACCCGGCTGCTCAGGAAATGCCTTCCTGCCAACGACTAGGAGCTGCGCACAGCAGTGAGGGGAAGCAGCAGCAGCCTAGACTCCGACATCCGGACGGATGGTCCGTGAAACTGATGAGGAAAAACATTTGACGAGGGGGAATCCGAGAGGCTCACCCAGTCAGGGCACTCGCTCGGAGCACAGACTGAGCTCTATTGTTCAGATGCTGCCATATCGAGGTTACGACAGTGGTGGGACCCCCTCCTGGGGGGTCTACGATCCACCGAGTCCGAAGAACTGGCAGGGCTGTTGTGCGGAGCTTCGCAAGTTTGCCACATGACTGAGTCGTGACGTGCTCGGGCACCTGTGAGCGTGCACTGGCTTCCGAGAGAGACGCGTTCCTCCTAAAATTGCACATAAACATACCTTCCTCAGAGGTAATGTGCAGCTCTCCGTGTGAGCAAGGTGAGCAGAAAAGATGAGGGATGGATCAAGTGTTGCACTCACTAGCCCTCATTTCTGCTTTCCACATTTAAGCAATGCAGCAATGAACTGAGGCGAGGTGATATATTTCAGTTAATTCCATCTAAATAAAAAAAATATATTTGTATGATGCACATTGATCAGGAAAGCAATTCAATCGTTAGCTCTTTAAATTGACTGTGTAATCTGGACTGAATTAACACTCAAGGTACAGCCGTGTTTCAAGGTTTAGCAGCGCTCTGAGAGCCTGTACACAGCTGAAACCCTAGCTTTCACAGAGCCCGCTGTGCCCATGAGTTGGCACAGAGGCGAGGAAAGGGTTAAGGAGCCCCGCTCTGTCACATCGCTCTCACTGCGCCAAGGCCCATTAACCCCGCTATATCACAGCAATGCAGCCCCATCAATTACAGCATCAGGAACATCGATAGAGCGCCCAGGACTGAGCCCGGCTCACATAAACATGACAAACCACCACATAAAACCGCCGGGCCCGCTCCCTGCTTCACTGGGCCGCGGTGGCAGCGCTCGCTCGCAGTCCTGCCTCGCAGAAGGGCCGATAAACAAACACCTCCCCCCGCACAGCCACACACACACCCTCTCGCTCTCCGAGGTCAAGAGGAGGCCATGCAATCCATCAAGCCCATCTGGTTTTGAACCAGCCTCAAAAAACCTCAAACCCATTTCTTACAAGAGCCTAACGAACACGCTCACAAAGTTTCCAGTGAAGGGAAGTATCTTACCACTATAGTGTAAATCACGTCGATGAGGTAAGATTCTACCCTACTAATTTAACAAACTACATTTCACCAAAAAAACTGCATTTTAAAATAAGTCAAGTTAATATTCTTACGTTGTCCCTAAGCAGTAACAGCTGGCTCCTGCCTTTTCTAATATTCTGAAATTAACTTCCATTTTAAAGAATTCTCAGTTAGCAAGACATCACCAACCCTTCTCCTGAAACGGCTGTGCCTTTACTGTGGTTACACGAGTAAAAGGTTCCTAATCGCATACACAAGGAACTGCATTAAGGCCTCTTCATTACGCTGCATTTCCAGAATTCCCTCCCGTGTTCTTACACACAGCACATGTGGCGTGTCCAGTGACGAGGACATGATGTCAACAGTAGGCTCTTCTTCCCTCTGCCCACGGTAAGAAACCTGACTGCGATTCATGCATGACAAAAGGAGCAGCTAAATAAGTATTTCTATTTTCAGAGCTGGTACATAAGTAAAGACCTTATCTTACTCTTCCAGTCGTGACAAAAGTTCCCTAACTCCTGGGACAAGCCAGGCACAGACTAGTACCAGTTCTGACAGCAAATAAACTTAGCTGCAGCCTTGACATACCATAGACAGGCTGCAGTACACTCAGCATGTTCCAATCAGAGACCAGAGTACTGTAGACAAATAAGGCTTAAACAGGTGAGAGAATGAACGGATTGGAATCTTGCTTTAATTTTTATTGCCATTTTTTAAATCAAATTTCCAGTTGATAGCTGATGAACACCCCAATGTGACTGCAACATTCAAAATGGCTTGTGGCAGGCCAGCGTGAATTAGGATATCAGTTTCAGCTGACCTGCCACTAGAGATCACTAGGTGTAACTATTGTGTGTGTTCACACATGTATTATTGCTTAATTAGATACCGAGTCTCATTCTCACATGGGTTTAACCTTAGACTAAGCTTTGCATTTAAAAGGGACTAACAGTGATACCTGGTGTTGGGTTGTTGAGAGTAGGTGACGAGAGTAAATACATTTTCCAAGCACAGCACTTTGCTTCCCATTGTGAGTTTTCCATGTGCTGAGGCATCACCTGCTGGGATGTAGGCCTGTCACAACACCTTTCTTCAGAAATGTGCACTACCACAGCCACCCAAAACTGCATTCACACTGTCCCACAGAGCCCGCAGCAGTGATACAGCCACTTGGACAAGTGATGCAGCTCTCATAGGCAACACTGGAAGATACTGGCAAGTCCTATCACGTCACAGCAAGAGCCCTTTTACACACAGTTCTATTATAACTGTAGGTTAATACTTGAACATATGAAGTAAACAGTGCAATCCACTTAATTAAAATAAAAGTACTTGTACATATCGTGAAATACTATATAACTTGTGATTTTTTTCCACACAGATGCACAAAATAAGCAGATGAACAACGGGCCAGACAGATATTTAGCAGCTACAAGTAACACAAATTGCAATTTCTGAATTCACACCTTTGGCAGCTTGTAAAACAAGAAGAGAGAGTGAGTTTATATAAAAAAAATACCAATACACTCTGAATATTTCCAAAAAGAAGAAAAACAAAATTCAACAACTGCTCTATATTACTCAATCAAGTCTCGCAAGAAATGTATCTTTTTATTTACAATGGAGCTCAATTTTTGCAATGCCTTTACTGGCCCTAGAACTTACAAACTGGCAATTATGAAATCTTCTCAAAAAACCTACCCGGTTTATAGATTATTCTGATTATCTACTGTTCTGCAATGATCTGAGAAGAACTGGAACGCAGCCTCTTGAGGTCTTTTGGCCACAAGCGTCGGTCAGAGAGGAGTTACAAGTACAGAACATATGACAGTCTGCTCCACTCCCTGCTTGAGCTCTGCTCTGTGCTCAACAGCTTCACACGCAGACCTACAATTAATCTAAATCAGTGCTCTAACACACGAAGACAATGTGCTTCTCCCTCCCAAGTCTAGTGAGAAGATGTCTTCAGCTGGAAAGCTCTGTCTTCCCCACACTCTCTGAGCACAGCTCCCTCCACAGCCCACTGAGCTGCAGGCAGGCAACTGGCCTGGAGCCCCCGCTGAGGCCAACAGAGCAACTGTACACCTGGACCGTTCAGTGACGAGTCCATCGAGTGCTCTAAAGGGTGTATTGAGCAACTAAACAGAACATTAAAATATACCGATTTTATTGAATCAATTAATATACGGTTGAGTGAAAAACAAGTCTGCTCCTCTGTCAGCAAGCTCCCCTTGTATCACAAAAATAGGGAAACTAATTTCATAAAAACTCTTGAAACTGATGCACATTGAGAGTAGAGGGGAAATTAATAGCTGTGCAAGACCATGAGTGCTGTCGGCCTGAATGTTTTTGCAGAAAACTGAAGCCAAATATATGGGGTTTCCGCTGTAACTCAGTCTGCTGTGATAATTTACAATACTTCAGGAAGAAAACTGACAGTCCTGCACATTCTTCACGACATCCACACAAATCGTTTAAATGCCGAACTCGGTTAGGAAAGGCAAAACGGGGTCAAAGCAGACTTTGCAGGTTTCGTATTGAAAGCAACAGTTTACCTGCACCGAGTCTATGGAAACCACACTACCGGACCCCACCCTCACAAAACCCTCATGTGGACTGATGGGAGAGACTGGAACGTCAGGAGGTGGCGACCGGCGGAGGTATAGAGTACCTGAAAAGCTCACGCAGCTCCTTGCCGGTGGCCTGGAAGGGAATGTTGCGGACCAAGATCTTGGAGGTGGTCTGTTTCTTTGCCATCTGCTTCTTCCGAGAACTCACCACGACGGGCCTCAGGACACAGAAGACAGCCCTTATCCAACCAGCCCCACAATCTGCACTGCTTTGTATCATGTACTTCAAACAAAAAACACTTGGGAGAAAAGGTTCTCCCCAAACGCTCCATTCACATATCGGCCTACACGCTGTCATTCCATGGTCACAGGGCCACTTCCATGCCATGTGGGTGACAAGATCGGACACTTAGTGCTCTTACTGTAGTTAGTATTTCCTGGTCCTTAAGCCAGGCAAGCAAAGACCCCGCACAGGTCAGCATATAACACTGCTGTTTTAACACGTGTACTGAAAGAACAATTCAATGATTGGGCAAATATTCCTGGAATTTATTGTACATAACTACATTCTTCATATATTTCTAAACCCCAGGCAACGTCATTAAAGGAAGTCTCTTCAAGATCTCTGAACATTTGGCTCATTCAGATTTGCTCATACTTACTTGGTTGCTCGCTCTGAGATCTTCACCTCTAGTTGATGGTCATCTACAGTGCAGTGCTGAGGGGGAGACAGAGGCTCATTACTTACTTTCCACAATCTCTAGGCTGAACTTTTTACTACACTTCAGGTATGCAGCTTTCCAGCTGTGAACTAACTTAGGAACTGTGAATTAAAACTCATGCACTTCCAGATAGAGGGTCCACATTTTATATAAGTCAGCCTGTTCTCACTCAGGCAGCTGCTGTTGCACAGCAAGACAAACCCATTTCATCAGTGACACCCCTGGCCAACTGAGAATAAGAAAACGGGTGGCAAAGCCAGGATTCAAACCTGCAGCCAGCAGGCTCTGAGCCAAAACATCTTTCCCTTCCCAGACGACTGTGACTGCAGCTGCCTGCGCAGGCCCATGATCCTGAGCACTTTGATGGCTACCTGCTCTAGAAACCGTTTGCAGTAACTGAGGGAGAGGAAACAAGGTGGAATGGGTCTCTTACCTGCAACTGTCTCAGGGCCTTCTGTGCCGACGTGGGGGACTTGAACTCCACAAACCCGTAGCCCATAGACAGCAGGGCACCTGGGAGAAGGAGGAGAGATAAGGAATCTGAAAATTCCCAACAGGATCATGAAAGGTATGAACACCCGTTACACTCCTTTCAAAGAGCTGACAGCAGGTGAACGTAATTCTTTTACAGTTTGCAGCTCTTATTGAAACGTCTTACACTTTCTGTGTCTTGCTACTGTTTAATTTAAACCAAAGTACAAGTAAAACAGCGGCTGAAGGGATTAACAGGAGCGTAAGGCAGAATGAAATGGTCACACAGTTATTCTGTAGACCATTTCTGTTTCCTCACACTTCCCACAGAAGGGCTGCTGTAAAAACTTCTTCTGATCTACCACCACCTTGTGGAGAGAAGTGAGAGAGACTGAGGAGAAAGGTCGAGTATTTTTTCTGCTTTTGTCCTCTTCACTCAAAGCCAATACTTTTAATAAATATCCGTAGTATCTAGAATTATACAAAGGAACACACTGGAATATGAAGTACAATTCACCCTGGAGAACTGAATTCTAAAAGCCAATCCTCTTCACTTGCAACCATACTTAAGACACATAATCTAATATAGAGAATAACTCTGCTGGGCCCTTTGTGTTTGTAGTTTGCAGCAGTGTTTAAGCCAAACCTGCTCTGTCCTTCTTCTTGGAGATCGTGCAGCTCTTCACTGCTCCACACTTGGAGAAAACCTGCAGAGTCAACACAGAAGCACGCAGTTCAGAGTTCCTTCCTTAGGCCTTACACAATGTAGTGTGGAACTGTTAATGTAAAACTTAAAGATGATTGTAAACGTAAAATGTAAAGATAAACCTCTTAAAAGGTTCAGCTGCTCTTTGGCACTTGAAACTCAAGGAATACTAACAAAGAATATTAAAAGCCACAGTTCAGCTTGAGGTTTTTTATGCATGTAGGCAGAGGATTCAGGAACTAGCCAGCTACATTGCCGATACCATTTCCTTTAAGGCAGTTAGAAAGGATCCCCAATCCCTAACTACTAAATCAGCAAGACAGCCGAATGGCCATCTTCTCTTCAGTAACCTTTATTATGCTCTGCTTCCTAATGAAAAGTGTTTTTTTTAATCACCTGGTTCACTTGAATTTATTTTCCATTGTCAGACAGACTCATATTCCTGGCAAGTGTCATGGCAACTCAGAACCTACAGCCGATGCACAGAGCACAGGGTGGGACTGCACCACAGACAGGATGGCAGTCCATCACAGGGTGTGCACACACACACAGGGCCAATTTAGAGACACCAATCAACATAGCCAGCGTGTTCAAGGGAGGAGGGAGGAAAACAGACCACCCAGGAGAAGTGCAGTAATGCACACAGGGGCACAAGCAGACTCCATACAAGAGGAGCCCATCCCAGAGCTGAACCCAGGCTCCTAGAGCTGTTGACCACACAGATGTGAGTTTAAACTGCAGTGCTCAGTCAGCAATGCAGAGGAACTGCAGGGGAAAACGGGTGAAAGCTGATGCAAGGAGCGAATGTTTGGGGTGGGGGGGGCTGAATACCCTGTACTTCCACAACAGTCCTCAAAGTGGCTGGATCTCACAGCACCTTAGAAACAGCTCTGAGATACTGTTTCTTTCTATAAACTAATGATGCCCGACTTTCCCTGCTAGATGGCAAACTAGTGGTTTTAATGCTGCCAACATACACTTTTCAGCGTCTCCTCTGTGGTGCTAAAGCTGAGGTTCTTGATGAAGAGGGTGCAGCCGGGAATGGACTCCTCCTCTTCCTCACTACTCTGAGCCTCAGCAGCTGTTTTCGACTCCGACTCTGGTACTGGAGAAAAAGAGGGGGGTAGGGGTTAAAACAAGAGGGCAACAACAGAATCTCCCCTAAAGGTCGCCTTCATGCTGAAGTGATTCATTTAATGAGAAGCTGGAATTGCAAATGCAACATATACAACTGAATGTGTCTCGTCATGCTGCAACCCTGAATCTGATTAGGGTGGCTGTAATTTGAATCAGTAACACATTTACTCAACATTTAAATTTCAGGAAACATTCTCCCAATGTAAATAAGTAACATGCAACACTATACTTTTATCCATGAACTCTTACTAATTCTGCTTGTGAAGAACGTCGATTTGTGGGATGCGATTCTCTCAGAGAGATCACCACACACTTTAATGAATACAGCACCCAGGAACTACACGGACCAGGACCTGACCCGCGCTCACACAGGTGTGCAGACAGCCATGCGACAGGTGGAGCAGTGGGTGCACAGCAGCACTGTGGGAAAGGGTGTTCATCTGTACACGGCACAGCTCTGTAACAGCAGACGGAGGGAGTTACCTTGCTCACTGTCTGTCGGTGGCTGCTCTTGCTTTGCAGGCGCAGGCTGTGTGAAGACACCCATCGGAGCCCACTCCAGATAGAGGGGCACGTGCTGGAACTGCGGGGGGACAGGCAGGGTTCTGACAGCAGGAACCGACACGCTCCAGTGAAAACTTGTTAAGCAGTGCAGTCTCAGGGTCTTGATTTTTTTCACTTCTCAGACAGCAGAACGAGTTGTCATAGAGCTTGTAACGTTGTAATGTAATGTCTTGCAGTGAAAAAATTTACATACAAGTCTGTAAGACTTTACACTGGGGACTGTGTGTAGCCCCTCTGTCCACTATTACACTGCTGATGTCTTTTTGTAACATTTACAGCTGCCTTCTGGCCCTCCATGCCAAACACAGGCAAAATATTCTGTATCTGTGACTCACAAATACAACCCCACAAGGCCATAGCCCATACACAGCAGGGCACCTGGGAGAAGGAGAAAAGACAAGGAATCTGAAAATTCCCAACAGGATCATGAAAGCTATGAACACCCGTTACACTCCTTTCAAAGAGCTGACAGCAGGTGAACGTAATTCTTTTACAGTTTGCAGCTCTTATTGAAACGTCTTACACTTTCTGTGTCTTGCTACTGTTTAATTTAAACCAAAGTACAAGTAAAACAGCGGCTGAAGGGATTAACAGGAGCGTAAGGCAGAATGAAATGGTCACACAGTTATTCTGTAGACCATTTCTGTTTCCTCACACTTCCCACAGAAGGACTGCTGTAAAAACTTCTTCTGATCTACCACCACCTTGTGGAGAGAAGGGAGAGAGACTGAGGAGAAAGGTCGAATGTTTCACACACTGGGGTCGGACTTCACTGCACCCTTGTGTGCCAGCGTGTGCTCCCAGGCGGGCAGGCGCCCTCACCTTAGTGTACGCCAGCCTGCTGAAGGCCCGCTTGGCCTCGGCGGGCTCCAGGAACTCCACGATGGCGGTGAGGCCCGAGGGGGGCAGCAGGACCCGGCCCAGAGAGCCGAGGGGAGAGAAGACAGCCTCCAGCTCCGCCACCTGCACCCCCGCGGGCAGGTTCTTCACCAGCAGCACGGTGGTGTTTCGCGGCCCTGCAGCCTGCAGGGGGCAGTCAGTCCATGGTAACCAATGGTTACTTTCAAACACCTCAAGGTCGAAACGCTCCCTCCATCCACTTTCTAACTGCTTGATCCCGGTCAGGGTCGCAGGAGAGTGGGAGACCATCACGGCAAGCAACAGGCGCAAGGCAGGGTACACCCTGGACAGGACACCAGTCCATCACAGGGCAGACACGCACAGACACACACCCTGGACAGGACACCAGTCCATCACAGGGCAGACACACACACTCACACCAGGGCCAGTCTTCCTAGAAGCCAATTAACCCACCACTATGTCTTTGGAACGTAGGAGGAAACTGGAGCAGCTGGAGGAAACCCACGCAATCACAGGGAGAACATGCAGACTCCACACAGAACTGAACTCAGGAGTCCCAGCACAGCAAGGCAGCAATGTAGACCACTGCACCCTTGAAACACACTCACTAAATGTCATCAGCAAAAAATCAGCATCAGCATGAGAAATTCTATCCGTGTAATTCTGAATGCTTTATCATACTGTCAAGATGTGTGAACTACAACAAGAAAAACTCAATCCATAAGCACTTGAAAATATCAGTAGCTCAGCCTGTAATTTGGGCAAAAACTTATTTTGTTTAGTCATACTGATGACAGAACAACTCACGAATGTAGTTATGTATTTGTGTGGGATTGCCAAGCTTTCTTTAATAACTTAAGATTTAAGGTCAAAATATTGGGAGTTAGAGTGATGTCTCGTATAATAGAGACATGCATCTGTCATTTTAATATATACGGTACATAGACTTCAGTAGAAGTAACATTCTAACCTATTATAGCCTTACCTAAAAAATAAAGCCTGTTATTTTTAGATCCAGTATTGTAAATATGATGTCATAGAAATTAAAGATGACCCCCATTACACTCCTAGACCTTACAGCACAATTACAAGCTTTCTTCAGCTGTCCTGAAAGCAACAGTGCTCTCTCTAGGATCTGGACAAGTCAAAAACCTACTCAATAATAAACATTTTCTCCTTTCCCAACAGTCTGTCTACAGGTATATCTATGATCTGCGTACGCACCTGGCTGAAGGAGTCCAGACTGACTCCATTATCCAGCAGGAACTGCCGAGTCTCCTGGACGATCTGAGTCTCCCCCAAGGCCATCCGCACTGCCACACTGCCCCGAGACTCCTGAGGAGGACAGAAAGAGCAAGGGAGAGGCATTCGTTTTCTCACATTTGCAGTTCGGAGACACGTGTTGCCAAAATGTGTCCTTAACCTTGAAGGCAGAACACCAGGTTTCAGAAGCTCAAACAATGAGAGTCAACAGCTTTTGTCAGCTGCAGAATTTTGTAAACATTGCACTAAAAGCACAGCATACCTAAAAACTATGTGGATAAAACTATAAAGCAAAAATGAAACATGTTTAACATTACTCCAGTCTAGCCTTACAAGCAATCATAAGAGACAGGAGCTTGGTGTTGACAATGACATTCAATCCTTAAATCAGTCACTTTGTTTACATATTTTTTCTGCTCTATAAATGTCTCTTATATTTAATGTGAGAAAAGGATTAGTTGATTTTTTATTAATTTCATCTCTTTGTTGATAATTACATACACATACTAACAAATACACAAAAACTGACATATCAAGAATATTTTACATGACACGCTCATCAGTTCTTATTAGCCAAGGCATGAGAAACTTGGCCCAGGTGCGCGAATCTCACATCGTCAAGAACTCGGCTTTTTGTGGTGTTGTACTTCTCAGCGATGGCATCGGCTACGGCACTGGTTCCCAGAAACAAGGTATTCCAGTTGTGGGAGCTGCAGAGACCCAGACAAAACAGACATTGGAGCTTTCCAAGGTATGTACCTGCAGGACCTCATGGGGGAAAAGGGCTACAAAATAGGGCACCACTGAGATAATGGCCCCCTATGCATGAACTGATGATTAAATGCTAAGAAAAATAATATGATCTACCCTCTAATTTACAAATTAAAATTCTGCATTTAATGAACTGATGAATCGCAAGGCAGGTGTCATGAGGATTGCTCTTTTGAAAAAATCTTCCCGGTTTTGGTAAACAGTAAGTTGTAGTAACAAAGGGGCCACAGTACGCTGCACATGAAGGACAGCGCAGAAATCATATGGGTTTAGGAAGCTAGCATGCACAGCTAGCATGTGTACTCAGTGATCAGCTGTTTCCTGCTGGGGCTCAGACCTGCCACTGCTTGCTTTGTCCTTAGCATCCTTCTGCTTCTTGTATGAGGATCCTTGTGCATCACTGTCCTGGTCAGTCTTCTGTTTCTTCATTGTGGACGGAAGGATGTGCAGCATGCGGCCCTACAGAACGCAAAAGAGATAAATAAGTTACATCTGAAGCCACAGCTCCTGGAGAATGGCTTTCCTGGCACAGGTTATGGTAAGACATGCCATGCCTTCACCGGTTGGGTCAATGAAAATTCTGAAAGTCAGGCTGAGGGTTGCTGTACTGAGACGGACAAGGAGAAAAGTGAATTCCAAAAGGACAAATTCCAGGACAGAGGCTGCTAACCTGGAAGACGTGGCCATCGAGCTCGGCCAGGGCTTTGACAGCATGCTCTGGGATCATGTACGTGACGAAGGCGAAGCCCTTGGGCTTCTTGGTCAGGCTGTCGATGGGGAAGTGAGTCTCAGCCAGCGGCCCTGGAGATGCAATGAGAAGCAATGTGAACGTGATTGTAAGACAATTTGCAACCTCCAAGAGTAGAGGACATTCTCGAAACTTTCCCCACAACACCAAAGGGCATCAGCCTTCTCCGCTGGCTGCAGTGCAACAGTACCATCCCAGGTGTCCGTTTGCTCCACTGGGACTCAGCACTGTTGTGTAGTGTCTCATGAAATTTCACTTTTAAACCTGCCCCTTTCAAAACCACACAGATCTGTTCGCTTTGCTGTGCAATACGACATTATACTAACAATATGACAAGAATGGCTACATGCATTTTCTTACATCAGTTACAGGCAAATTCCACCTTAAGCCACTCAGGCACAAATACACAGAGAAAATAAGAATAGTCCATGACAGACAGAGGAATAGTCCATGACAGAGGAAGCCTGTTGGAGTGACAGAAGAGTAGAAATACCCCAGTGAAGCAGATGCAATGAGGGGCTGTGCTCTGTGACCTACCATACTTGCTGAACAGCTCAGACAGATCCTGTTCCGAGCAGGTGTAGGACAGATTCCTGACAAACAGCCTGCCCGACTCTGAGACTTCCTCCTCCTCCTCATCCTCCTTCAGCTCGCGGTGCCAGGAGCGCTCCTCCCTGCCCCGTCCCTCGGCGCGCCCCTGTAGGGCGTGGTCGACACGGAACACCTCGATGTAGCGCCCGCCTGAAACAACAGAGCCATCCAGCGCCAGGGCGGAAGGATAAGAGATGTACCCTGCGTAGTCTCCATTCTGCCACGTTAACTGCGCGAATCCAGGCCAAACACATCTATATAACCAGGAGCCATGTTTATATATTTCATGCTCTTATGAGGTTTGTGACCACGGTCACAAAACGTTTGAAACAACGGGCTCACAACTGAAGGTTTATAAAAAATATAGTTGGAACTAAAAAAATCTTGTCGCCATTTCTCTGGCATTTTAAATCTGACACTTCTGCGCTGGGTTATCATGACACGGTGAAATCGTGTCAAGGACAACCACAGTGCATCCCATGGCACCAATTCAAAAGCCAGTACTGTATAAGGTATTAAAAGAACTGCCTGCTCTTGAACTGTTCACAGCGGAGCGGAGCAGTTCATACATTCTTCACACGAAGGTTATTCCTGAATGTGAAAACATCAAAGGACTGCATGATTAACGCAAATATTGAATGGTGTTTTAGTTTGCCCTCTGACCTCGCAAAAAAGGACAAACACAGGGCACGTTCCGGTTAATTAAGTATGGACGCATGGAATTGCCTCCATACAATGGCACCGTGCCTCAATTACAGGAGTAAAAAGGAGCAGGGGCAGAGAGGTCATCTGACAGGCCCATTCAGAATGGCAAAACAGCAAAGCAAGATGCTCTCTGCAGCTCAAGATGACATTCTGCACAACAGCCCTCTCCTGCTGCCCGCCTCTACCAGCCAAGGGCAGAGAGAAACCAATTAAAATTCCTCACCTTTCAGCCACAAAGCCGCTCTGCCGCTACACTGGGAAAATTACTTTCAACACCTCGAACAAGACGCCCCTCTCTCCTCTCCGGACCCCTGTGAAAGGAGCTCCGTGCAACACGGTCGCTCGAGGGGGAACCGAGACAAAAGAACGAGCCAAACGCCCCCCCTCCTCCCCCACCTGCCTCTCAGGCTGCTCGTGTCTCTGCGAGTGTGGCCCCCGGCGCGAGGCGTCTCTGCGAGTGTGGCCCCCGGCGCGAGGCGTCTCTGCGAGTGTGGCCCCCGGCGCGAGGCGTCTCTGCGAGTGTGGCCCCCGGCGCGAGGCACCTACCCATATAGTCCTTATTCCTGCGCAGAGCCTTCTCCACTTCCTCCTCAGACTGGAAATCCACAAACACGTAGCCTTGGAGAGACACCAAGAGGAGAAGGCCTTTCTCACTCACTTCACAGAGCTTTAATAGGACTCATCCCGGTAGCTACTGAGTGTTCACAAAAATTCACGAGAAATCCCATTTCCTCTCGCAGACAAGGAAGGTAGCAGTGCTTTATGAACTGCTTGTTACTGAAGTATCTCCGGTTCTTTATACAAAGTCGACAAAATCCATCCGCAGATTTCTTCAGATCGAGCACCGAAACAAGAACTAGCGTGCACAAGGGGAAACGAAGTGCATTTAAATCTGACAGCGGGAGGAACTTCTTTACACAAAGGAATGTGGGAGTCACCCAGCCATCTGGCTGTGAAGATACACGGTCAAGAGACATGTCAACTAATTATTAACTACAAATTGGGCTAGATGGCACAAATTTCCCCCCCTGTTGTTCATAAGCTTTCTTCTGTTCTTACGTATAAGAACCTGCCAACCTACAGAAAGTGCAGGACAAGCCGGGAGAAACACTGACCGTTACAGGTGCTTGCTTTTTGCTCCACTATGGCTTTTCTGTTGATGCATTGCTTAAAAAATAGAATTGTAGAATCTTTTTTTCAAAAGCATGTTATAGAGCTAAATGTCAGAGCACGAGCAGAGGAGCCCACCTGTCTTGTTGCCATGTGCGTTCCTGACAATGCGAATGGCCACAGGTTTCAGAGGCACCAGGAACTCGCGCACTTGTTGCTGATGGGAGAAAAAAGAGGATTCCGCCCCAGTCCACATCTTCATATTCACACCCTACAAGCTGATCACCTGCTCCATCTCAGCCACAGCCCTATCTAGGCTGATCTATTTCCTTGTATTGCGTCACATCACCTATTACTAACTTCACCTAACGGTTTGAAATAGAACTACAATTTCAACATGACCCATCTGAAAGGAGAGTTGAGCAAACTCAAAACAAATGACAGAAATGTGACAGTGCCAACTAATTCTTTACAGTTTGATTTTGCTCAATAACTCAGTCTGGACGAGCGATTGATCTAGAGAGAGCAGGGCCAGCCTGTGCTACAGTCTCCAGGCAGCAGTGAAGAAAAAAACAGAACTGCAGTCATTAAGAAGCACTGGAAACTAATATCCCCAGCCCTCTCACCTCTGTGACGTTGAATGGAGCTCCTCGCAGCTTCACAGTGAACTCTGTAGTCGGCTCAGTCTGCTGGGGGAAAACGCCAATGAGTGGAGTAGCGTTTACTGGAATAATTCATTTACTCTCTGCAGTTCACAGCCATCTTACTCTGGACATGCTGAATTAGGCACATGGAGATCTTGCGATTGGCTGGCCAGTTTTCCATTAAACACTGCTGTGGTTTAACTAGGCCATGCAAGACATAAAGCAGCCAGAGAATATCCAAGAACAACAGTACATCTACCCAGAGGTTAGAAATGTACGTATAAAATTGAAACCATGCGAGGGGGAGACTGACCTCCTGTGTTCTGGGTGCCTTGGCAAGTTTCGCTTTGCTCTTGTGCGCCGTGTCTTTGTCTCCACTCTCGTACGCGCTGTCCAAGGGCTGAGCTGGCACAGGTTCCTTCTCCGTCACAAGCTCTTCGTCATCGTCCTCCTCCTCCTCACTCTCCCCCTGCTGCCTCACTACCTTAGAGCGGAGATAGTCCATGTCGGACAGGCCCGTCTTCAGTGCCTCCTTCCCAGGGCCTGCCGGGGAAGACACAGCCTTTAAAACTGGCACCGGACACTTTGTTTTAGTTTCCTAATGATATGGAGCGCAAAAGGACTCTCGGGGTGTCCAGTCTAAGATGAAAACAATGACAATGGAGCCAATTTGTTTTTTACAGAACCCGTACATAATTAGATGAGTCCCCTTCAAGTATGGTTCCCAAGTCAAGGTTACACCCTGACCACTGCAGCTATCGGCTACAATCAGGAACGTCCGTGGTCATATTCACCATCTTGGCACCGGTTACAACTTTATTTTCCCAAAAGCTCAAGTGCATAAGAGACGGAACATTTGGAGTCTGGCGAAAGCCACACTAGGCTGTTCCCGGGGTTCTGGGGTGCCTCCAGAATGTAAAACGCTGCATAGAAAAGCCCATTAATGGTGCACAACAGCACACTGACAACTAAACACCTTCAGTAGTGTCGTAGCCAGCCAAATTATTTCTCTTCAAAGTCAGACTTAAAGCTTTAAATGCCCCATATATAGGTTATGAAAACATGACAGAATTCCATACGTTTTGTGAAGACGCAAGATGACAACCCTAACTTTATTCAGACTATCTGAATAAAGTTCTGTGTGAGGCAACATACTTAGGTGCTCTGTTTTCTCGCCCTGGTCTTTGTCTTCTTCTTCCTCCTCCTCATCCTGCTCTGGCTCCTCAGACTCGGACTCGGAGTCAAAGTTGAGATAGTCATCGGAGGCCGCCTTCTTCTTCCTGTCCTTGCGGTGCGGTTTTGCAGCTGCGGGGTCAGCCGCTGTGTCGTTGGCCCAGGTGGGGGCCTGAGCTCGGTTCTGATGGACAGCCAGAAACTCCTGGAAACCTTCATCTCCCTCGAGCTGTTAGGGGCCAGTTTGCACAAAATACAATTAGCCCCCCAGGCAACAAATACACGAAACAGATGGGAAAAAAAGCTTTAACGAACTAGAAAGTGATTAGATTTGCGGCTTAAAACCCTTACTTTAAATGACCACCTGTGATTTAACATGGGTCGATAATCAGTAAAATGAAATGAAGAAAGATCACTGAACTAATGTCCAGCAACCCACCCTATCAAGAGGAAAACAGTGACATTTCATTGCTCTCTGACAAAAGAAAACTGACTTGGATTGTTACAAATACTTAAAAATCTAATATAGGGAGAGGATGAGCTCACTATAACAGATGGAAGATTAAATCTTTAAGTGTTGAATATCTGATCCTCTCCCAAATAATCAACAAATGGAAGAATTATATAAATAATTCCCTATTATATCAATAATTCTTTATTAAAAGCAGAACTTTCCTTCACTTCTTTCTAGCAATACCGAAGATCTTGGTATAACACCGCAATTGTTTTAGGGAATGCCTCAACAAAATCAGAACAGATGAAAACATATGGCTGCAGGAACTCGGTTTATCAATAAAATCAAAACAAAAATAACCCCACATTCCTCACAAATTTAATAAACTTTCAAATATTAAAGAAAGTTAATTAAATATTGAAAGCTCTGGTTTTTAAGAATATTGGAATGGTATTGACTACAGGCTACTCCGTGACAGACAGCTCAGACGAACCTTTCCAAGGGTCGGAGGCATCCCCTTCTGCCCCTTCTGCTCCTTCTGCTCCTTCTGCTCCTTCTGCCCCTTCTGCCCCTTCTGCCCCTTCTGCTCCTTCTGCTCCTTCTGCTCCTTCTGCCCCTTCTGCTCCTTCTGCACCTGCTTCTCCTGAACGAAGATCATCACAAAGTAAACTCTTGGCCTTGCTGTTCGGGCAAGACTGAAAAAGAGCAAACCTCACAGCAAACTTCATTCAAGCTTCACAGCTCAAGGCTGGCGACAGACACACACGCCTACTCCCAACAGTACCGCCCCACCTCAGTTTTCATACGGTACACAGCATGCACACTGCTCATCTCTCTCCAGTCATACTGCACGGTGATTTGCGCGTGGCAGGATCTCTGCTATTGTGATTTTGATTGATGACTGTTATTGGTTATTGACCCAGGCTGAAGGCCACAGGCCGCAGGGCTCTACCTTCTTCAGCCCCTGATCCGCAGCTGCCTTCTTCTCCTCGAGCTGCTCGCTGTTCCGGGCTGCACTGCCGCGGGAGTGTTTGCTCCAGGCTCTGGCCTTGGTCGGGTCTCCGAAAGACTTGCACTGTTCCACCTGCGGGGCGCAAACCGAACAGTCATCGCAGACACCTTCCTCCCTCCTGGACTCCACCCGCCTGCAACCCATTTGCCTTTCATCTGTATGTTAAAACTGAACTGGGATCACCTTACTCAGAGGATGACACAAACTCCTTATTTCTCAGAGGACGTATCTTCTCATTTCTTTTCAGGGTTGGGCCATTAAATAAGGCTCATTTAATTTCTGAACATGGTGTGTGCTTCAATGAACAAATGTGAGAGGACATTTCTGACTGACTAGTATCATAGAAATTGTGATTTTGCAATGGCATTTTCCACTGTCATTTTTTATTTGCAGTATTTTCTTTGCATTGAAGCACTTCTGGCTCCAGTAACAAGTGAGTATGTTACAGTGTAATTTAGCAGTGTGTCTGATCTTGCTAAACAGAAGCCATTGTGCGATTTATCACACCACTTATGACCAGCAGTTGTACATTCAGAGACACGTACAGGCGTGCATGGCATTTGCAAGAAAACGTTTGTGAACCCTTTGGAATGACCTGGATTTTTGCATTAATTATTCATAAAAATGTGGTCTGATCTTCAACTAAGTTACAACAATAGACAAACACAATCTGCTTAAACTAATAACACACAAACAATTGTACTTCTTCTGGTCAGTACTGAACACATCGTTTAAACATCCACAGTCCAGGCTGGAAAAAGTATGTGAACCTCTAGGCTAATGACTTCTCCAAATGCTAACTGGAGTCAGGTGCTCCAATCAATGAGATGAGATTGGAGGGGTGGGCTGGAGGTGCCCTGCCCTATAAAAAAGGCACACAAAGGCTGGTTACTGACAGAGTCTGCTCTTCTCAAGAAGGAGCTGTTCATGTGTACCATGCCCTGATCTAAAGACATATCAGAGGACCTTAGAAGAAAGCTGGAAAAGGCTACAAAAATATTTCTAAAGGCCTGGCTGTTCATCAATCCACAGCAAGACAAATTGTCTACAAATGGAGGAAATTCAGTACTGTTGCTACTCTCCCTAGGAGCGGGAATCCTGCAAAGATCAGGGCAAAAGCGCAGCATGCAATGCTGAAGGAGGCGAAAAAGAACCCTAGGGTAATGGCAAAGGACCTGCAGAAATCTCCTGAACTTGCCAAAGTTTCTGTTCATGTGTCCACCATCAGAAAAACACTGAACAAGAAGGGTGTTAATGGAAGGACACCACGGAGGAAACCACTGCTCTCCAAAAAAAACACTGCACATCTCAAGTTTGCAAAAGGCCACCTGGATATTCCACAACGCTTCTGGGACAATGTTCTGTGGACGGATGAGAAAAGTTTAACTCTTTGGCACAACACTATGTTTGGAGGAAAAAAAGCATGCACACCAAAACCTCATCCCAACTGTGAAGCATGGTTGAGGGAGCATCGTGGTTTGGGGCTGCTTTGCTGCCTCAGGTCCTGGACAGCTTGCGATCACAGAGGGAACAATGAATTCAAAATTGTATCAAGAAATTTTACAGGAGAATGTCAGGGTAGCAGTCTGTCACCTGAAGCAGAACAGAAGAAAATTTGTGTTCTGGAATGGCCAAGTCCGAGTCCAGACCTCAACCCAATTGCGATGATGTGGTGTGACCTGAAGAGAGCTGTTCACGCAAGGAATCTCAGAAATATCAATGAACTGAAACAGTTTTGTAAGGAGGAATGTCCTAAAATTCCTCCTCACCGTTGTGCATGTCTCATCTGAAGCTACAGGAAACGTTTGGTGGAGGTTATTACTGCTAAAGGAGGTTCTACCAGTTACTAAATACAGGGGTTCAAATACTTTTTCCAGCCTGGACTGTGAATGTTTGAACGGTGTTCAATATTGACAAGAAGTACAATTGTTTGTGAGTTATTAGTTTAAGCAGATTTGTGTTTGTCTATTATTGTGACTTAGTTGAAGACTGGACAACATTCTTATTGAGTAATTAATGCAGAAATCCAGGTAATTCCAAAGGGTTCACAAACTTCTTCTTGCAACTGTATGTACATGTGCATGTATGTGACACACTCTCACCGTGATTCTCGAGGTGTCCACGAAGCTCTTGTGGAAGTGTTTCAGTGCCCTTTCTGCATCCTCCTCCGATTTGAACCCCACAAAGCCGAACTTCCGGAACTTCCCCTCCTTGGTGAACTTCAGGCCGCAGTCCGTCAGAGTTCCAAAGGCAGCAAACATGGTGCGGAAGTGCTCCTCCTTCATCTGTCCGGAACAGACACAGCTGAGACCCCCAGACAGCAATCCTGCGCTCCGACGTGCACAACCCCCTGATCTTCATCAAGGCCATTAGGATTACAAGGAACAATACTCAACTGACTTCAATTCCATACTCTTCAAAGGAAACGTCACATTTTACTGCTCCCTGACAATTTGAGATCCTACAGTCTTATTCCCAGCTGACTGGGACTGTGATTCCTACAGTGGCAGTAAAAGGGATATGTTCTGGTAGAGCTGCCTGGGGCTGGCTGGGATTTAGAGAACCACAACTGTTTAAAACCTGCAGTGTGTCAAATGCCAAAAAGCACTGCAGGATGGAGGGATGTCTCTCTCCTGACGGGCACTGGCATTGTTGCTGAAGTGCTGAGCTACAGTATTAAGCAAGTGATGATTCCACCCTAGACAGGTACATGATAAAAGAAATAGAAACTGAACTGCAGTTCCACATTTCTGAAAGAAAATATTCCATCATCTTATGTACTTCATCAAATTGAGAAGGTCTTGTGAAAGTGAAAAGATACATCTTCAAGGAAGATATTCAAAAGTGACTTGTATGATATGTTGGCAATTATGGTCTAAAGTCACCTTATTCGGTATTTCCGATTGATTAACCCCCTGAATTCCTGAGGCAGCAGCCTTTTTCAAACACTCTCTCAGAGGAACTGGCATTTTCATAATCTAAAACATAACTAGAATCGAATTTCTAAATTACGAAAGGACACGGGAATATGACAGCTTACCTCCACAGAGGTGGATGATGTTAGTAAAGATAATGAAGAGTCTTGGTTAAGATGGGTTTATATTACAATAAGCACGACTCGAGCTGTTGCCGAATGAAAAACACAGCCTTCTCCCCTATTCGCCATTTGTAAGTCTACAAGCTGTAGCCGTAGTCATCAATTTTGGTTTACATATTTCCCATAACTTGTTCAATGCAAAAACGTACTTGAGCTTCCAATTAAAACGGCAAAACCATGCCATCAAAGAAAGCTGGTGAGGTCTCGAAAACACGCACGGGGCGTCACAGCAGCTGAATCCACTCAGAATACGTTTACCTACAGTAGACAGCTCTTCGATAACCGACAAAACATATACCAACATTCAATATATTATAGGAGCTCACGCTCTTTGTACATAAATTGAATTTCTCCACATCAGTCCAGTCCTCCCTCCTAGATACCTAAATGTCTTTTACACTTCGACCTGTTACCTATAACATCTGTTTTGATCACCCAACACTCACCCCATTCGGGAGGTTCTTGATGATAAGCCTGGACATGTTTACTGGTGTTTACAGTGTGACAACCCAGTGAAACGACAAATTCGCCACACACAAACAAACAAGCGTGCCGCTCTCACAACGCTGCCATCTTGCCCACAAGGCAACATAGATCACGTGGTGTTTGACCTTTAACCTCACAGTGCTTCTGCTTCCGCTCTTTACCGATACCGCCATCTGCTGGTTAAGAAGACTTAAGACAAGCAGTTAACACCTGCGAGGAAAACTCAAACACGACAGAAACAAACATCATCAGCCCAGAATTCAGTGCCTCTAGAGATAATATTTTTTTAACATTATCTGAGAGTGAAGTGGCAGAGATGAAGGATTTCCTGTCTATTGCCCTTCCGCCTGGGGACACACAGGCAGCCGACAGACGGACAGTGTGAATTCTCACACGTTCTTAAGTCTTGTGAGAAATTACAATATGTCCAGGGTTGTGCTGCTCAAGGGCTGGCCAACACTAGAGATTGTGAACATATTTCTCCTGTGTTAAAAAGCTTGCACTGGCAACAGAGGAGCTGCACAATGAAGGAATACACACAGACAAAACACAAACCACAGTTTATTCTTCTATACAGGAGACTTGGATCTCTCAAAAACAGTTCCTGAAGATACAGCAAACACTCCTCCAGGAAGAAGCTCAATAAGAATTCCAAAAATAAAGAATACAACACAAATATAAAAAACATCCACGCTGTGCAAAACCGAATTGCAAACAAGCTGTCCCCTTTTCTCAGCTGAAATGTGTTCACACCTTGTCATGGGATAAAAATAATTCTGGAGTGCCCAGTTCAAACATTACGCTATGCCCTTCCCCATGTTCAAGTACATAAGATTCTAAGATTCCTGCACATAGCGGTTTACATTTTTGGTCCTAATTTTATATTTAGAAGCTCAGGAGAAGTCTCACTCTAACTGTAGAGGGAAGAACATCGATTCTCATCTTTCTGTCAAGGGGTTTCTGTCATGTGGCGTCCCAGCGTGGCGACAGCGCCAGTGCTCTTGAATTTACTGCAGATCACCAGTTGAGGTGCTCCTTGGGCATCATGTTATTACACTCTGCAGCTGCACGGTAGATTTCTCTTTCACAACCTCAATACCACTGGCTAGTGCAGAGAGGAAGACTGTCTTCATCAGCAAGTCAGATCCGACTTCAACGCTTCGTTTAGGGAAGAAATAAGATGTCAACACTGTGCAAAATGACCAGCGGCTCAGGCCTCGTGTGCGGATGGGTTGGGTCTCTCCTCCTTTAGCTCTCGATAGGTAAGATCAACAGTTCTCTTGTTCACGATCTCCGATGGAAGCAGGTCTAGCAGCCCAGGGCGGTTTGTGCGAAGGGGCCGGCTGCAGTGAGCGAGACCTCACGTTCGGAAGAGCCGAGCTGAAGAAGGAGAGGCGTGGACTCCAGCGCGCAGAGGAGCGCGCTCAGCTGGAGGTCAGCTGCGACGAGGAGCTGCTGCTGCCAGAGCTCTTTCCTGATTTCTGCCCCCGGGAGGCGCTGGGCTGGCGGGGCACGCGCTGGCTGGACCCATCCCGACCGCCCCTCTCTCCGTGGGCCTGTCCCGCTCCCCCGGAGCCTGCCTTCGCTCGCACTGGGACACGCGACATGAAACAAGAGAGCAAGGGTGAGATTCGAGCCCTAACCATCACTACACCGACACCCCCTGAAGCCAGCACGTACGTCTCAACACTACCGTTCCAAATCCCTTCTTTTGTGCCTCCCTCCGAAAACAACTTCGGAATGTCGGATTGGGATTTAGGACTCACCAGTGGCTTAAGGGGTTTCTGTCATCTGGCTGTTTCTTTTTTTCTGAAAAGCCAGAGCCAAGCGCAGCACCAGCAAGGAAGCCGACTCCTCATGCAGGGCCAAGCCAAACAACACGAAAAGCCACACTGGAGTCCCAGCTGGGAAACTGGCCAAATTAAAATGAGCAGCCTTCGCAGAGGAGACAGAATACCAAGCAACCAAAGAGAGCACGCACAGACAGGAAAAAGAAACAATTCCACATTGCTGAAGGGTGCTCATTTTAAAAAGGCAGTGTCGCGTACTGCTGTGTTAAAAGCTATACTTGTTTTTAAAAGGTCTGATAGGTATGTCAGGAGAAAAAGGTGTTTTGTTGCCTTTTAAAAATACATGCAATGTACTACTTACCTAGCTTTTAAAATACTACCATAAGACCCTACCTAACTGCAGAGGGTGGGAGGTTCTCATAAGCACAGCAGTTTGGGATCCTGTGCCAGTAAGACTTTGATCCTGCTGTTTCCAGGAAGTAGGGCTCCACCTACTCTGACAACTTTCTTGGATCAGATTAGGCCCATGGAAGCCTAAAACCATGATTACTGCTCGTTCAACAGATTTCCATTTCCTGTTAATGAATCTGTAACTGGGATTTTGATAGGAAAGGGATAATCTGCTGTCAAGCATTTTGTCAGCGGTGAGTACAGATTACATGTGGACACCTGCATTACTAGCAGTCTTTCACCACTGAAAAGGATATTCATTATTGTGTTATAGCTGTCCAAAAGTATCACATCTTTTTTACAACCATCACCTCAGCACATGTTGAGTAAAAGGTGCATGTGAATATAGTGCAAATGTTTGCTACCCTTTGCCAATCAACATCACTTGGGCCTGGAACTCAGGAAGCAGCAGCATAGTGCCTAGTGCCCAGCACTCATTGCCTTTGTTTTTACATAAACCTGCTTGTGCAGACAAGGGTGCACAGACAGCAGAAAGAGGGAAACGGAAAGGAAAATTTGTTACAACATAGAACGGTAATACAGGGTGACCAGTCATTAAAGCATATCAACTTAGCAGCATCACTGCTCTTAGGAGCAGAGCTGACAACACTCTTCGCACCCAATGTTGACCTAATTGTCATCAGACGCTGGTCCAAATTCAGATTCAAAAAAGGTGAGAAGCTGTTTCATTGGCTTTCGAGGTCACCGGAGCCCACCCCTGTCGACACCGGCTGGCGCTGCGTTACATCACTGATGTGACCTCCGAGGTCGAGCCTGTCTGTGGCCATTGCCTGCAGACACAGTCCTGGAGGAACATCACCTCTGCATGATCAGGGAGCAGGGACTGGAAGACCTGTGTCCAATCTCACGATGGTCACACACTATATCTTGGTGTTGTTCTCACACTTCCTCCAATAACACTATATCAATTTACTTCTGTCATATAAAGCACACAAAACTACAGTACTCTGCCATAAGAACACTTCCAAAACCTGCTGAATTCACCCCTATCTGCATGAGACCAAGCTACCGGCTGCTGCTGTTGGTGGTGCCTACTTGGTTTAATGCTTGGTAGTGTGTCACAAGCATATTAATTCAGTCGTATTCTTGCTCCTGTAATATGAGGTTGCTCTGTACAAGATAACTTCTTCTGAAAGAACTGTGTCAGATTAAGGGGTATCCATTCTCAACACAAAATATAATACAGATGTGAGGGTTTCAAAAAGTTTTTGTTTTCTCGGGACAGCTGTTCCAGATGTTGTAGGTATTTAAAGATCTGGTCCCGATGAAGACTCCAGACCAACACAATCTTTTAAACTTTGTTATAAATGTTAGAAAGCAAAAATAGATGCTCCTCTTTTTTTCAGGTTGTCTAATTGCTCCCAACCTGTCCTGTCTGTCCCATAGAACATTTTGGTCTCATAAAATTCTTGCTGTGTACACAGCTGAGGTAAGCTGGATATAATTTGTCAGACAGATAGCACACTAAAAGCAAGCAGTACAACATGGTTAGTAAGTGTTAATAAGGGCACATCACTAGAGATCACCATTTACAGAACCTAGTACACAACAGGGTTGACCACAGACACAGGCACAATGAGACTATACTACTCACACCTCAAAACAGCCACTACACACAGTTCAGAAGGAAAAGACAGGAGTTTATTAGTTTATCACTGATGCATTCAGATCATCTGAGGGTTGGAATATTCTTTGAAATTCTAAATTTGAATTAAAGGATCAATGAAATACCTGAGTAGAGGCTGTGTGATGATCAAATCTTTCCGACATACTGCAGTAACTACACACTACTTGAAATGGTTTCAGCATGTTTCCTTTATAGTGAATTTAACACACACTGGTTCAACTAAAGTGCTGTAAGCAAGACTGCCATTCTTGCGGTGGCCAACATGCTTTCAGCACTATGTGCACATCTGTGCCCTACCAGGGTTCACATTCTGAACTGTGAGTTCCCCAGCGTCCCGTCCCTCCCAGCCTGATCACACCAGGAGCCAGTTTCCCAGGGCAGACGGCTGTCAAGAATTCCCTACACTGCGGAGGTATAAGCAGCGCAATGTGCTCTTGGCCCAGACACTGGGATCACCACTCAGCTCAGACACAGGAGAACTCCAGACCAGAGCAATTACTTACTAAAGTAGAGGAAGGGATTTAAAAGTAGTAAACAGCACAGAACAGAATGTTAATCATTAGTCACAAAGTTTTAGCATACATCTGTCCAAAAAACTAGAGAGTTACAGATTTGCTTTTAGGAAAGACATCAATATTTGTTTGTGTTTTATCCCACTTTTATGTAGTACAGCTTCTCTACAGCCACTAAAATGCTGCTTCTCAAATGTCAGGCATGTCACAAGCTCTATTTCCACTGCTCGCGCACATACTTAACGTAGGAAGCATATCTTGCAGGGCTCAGTACTTAAAAATTGTAGGACTGGGCATCATTAGAATATCTCTGGGAGCTTCGCTATGCTACTGTATGTGATCAAATGTATTGGAAAAGAAAATGTTCAGAGGCTCCTGTTCTGTCTGTAGGGATCATCTCTGAGTGGCAACCACAGCTCCAATCTGCTCCAATGCAAGACCATCCAACTCGAGACGGAAAATTGGAAAAGAAAGCCAAAGAGCATTTGCAAAGCTCAGCCAGCAGAACCCTTCTGGTCTACTCCTCATGGGTGCAAAGTGAGCTTTCACCCCCCCGTTTTCATCAGTGAAATCGATTGGTAACAGTCACTGAAGGCTGTTACAAAATGCACTGAACTGCTGTATTCCTGGGCTGACCCAGTGCTGTCAAACAGGAATTTCCTCTTGGCAGTGGAGTAGCAGCCATGCCTGGGATGGCCCGTGTCCTGGCTCATAGTGCGATAGCAGGCCGGACCAACCCCAGCAGATAAACTAATAAACGCAACCTGCAAAGGGAGAGAACAGGCAGCAAGTATACTGGAAGGAACCGGGGGGACCTTGAGAGATGGGTGAGCAAGAGTCGGCAGGACTGTAGACCACAATCTTAGTGTTAACTCTCGCAGGCCGCAGGCCAGAGGACAGGGAGAGAGGTGCAGGGATTTTACTGCTCTTTCCAGACACAAAAGAGTCGTCCACTTCAGGAAAAGGAAAAGACACACACACAGACACACACACCAGAACAAATAAAAAAAGAATGGCAGAAAACACGTTAACACTCACTATTGAGGATCAGAGATAGCTACCCATCTATCTACAACAGCAGGGAAATACACCAGAAGCACAGGTGTGCTCTAACCAAAGACCATTCCAGTCTAGCAGATATCAGGTGCAAAACTACTTAACACATGTCCCTGTGATCCATGCTGAGGGCTCTGCAGACACTGCTAGTCAGCCAGATAGATGTATATGTTTTGGGCTGCATCTGGGTGACAATTTCAGATTTTAATTCTTCAAATCTCACTGCACACCCTGCTGTCTTGGAAGGGTAATCTAAAATCATTAAGCTTTACAAAACAGCTTTTAAGCTTGACTTTAAAGACGTATAGGAACAAGTAATAGGTTTATTCCATGCTGAAAAGAAAAGAAAGAAAACACAACGTTTCGGCCGTGGAGCCTTCTTCGGGTGTGAGCTCACCTGAACCTGAAAGACGTATTCCCTACAAAGCCACAGTTTAGTCATTGCACAGTGGCTGGATTACATTTTCAAGGATTTCCCCAATACCCCCTCACAGAGAGCCCAATAATGCATCTCTGTACAAACATGACTTCATTGATCATTAGCAACAAAGGTTGTAAAGATATTTTAAAAAACAATACTATACTAATGGTTTAAAGCAGAGTTCATGGGTTATGTTGGCACAGGCAACACAACTTTTGTCTCTCTCTTAAAGTAAAAAATGATCACAGTTCCTATTTCAGGAACTGGGTCCAGCGATCAATGCACATTTGCTTGACTGTGGCCACCACAGTGAGAAAACACTTGCTAGGCACTATGCCTGTAAATCATTCCC